GGGAAATGAAATACCCGTTGCGGCTTCAAGTTTAAAGAGGGCTGTTTTGGATGGAGAATTTCTGCCTGATGTCTTCCTGGATTGGCCATTATTGGTGCTGGATCTTCAGGATTACGGTCCTTCCTGCACAGAGTAACTTGGAGGCAGGGGGGTTACTCCTTGGCCCCTTGGGACTGAGTGAGGGGGTCCCACAGGGCTCCATCTGGTTCCCAGATTGTCCAGCACCTGCACGAGGCTGCTGGGAGTCGTCACTGGGGAATTCAGGGCCACGTGCCATCTGTACCCTGATGACACTCCGCTCTGTCTCCCTCCGACAAAGGAATCAGGTGAGGATGTGAACGTCTTGGATCGGTGCCTGGACCCAGCAGTAGGCTGGCTGCGTGCCAGCAAGCTGAAGCCGAGTCCCGCCAGCCAGGGCTTCCCAAGGCTGGGGGATGGAGGCATGTCTGTTTTGGGATGCGGTGGCGCTCGATCTGCACTGTCTGGCTCATGGCTGCAGGTTCTCCTTGCCCCATCTTTGTCATGGGAGGCCCGTGTGGCTGTGGCAGATGGGAGAGGGTTGGGGTGCCTTGGCAGGCCTTTGGGCTGGTTTGGCAGGGCTGTTCCCAGATCCTGTGTTCAGGGAAGGACAAGCCCTTGCTGTGCCCCACAGAGGTGCAAAACCTCAAGCCCCAGAGCTTATGGCCCTGTTTGTTCTCATGCCATGAACAATAACTGCCTTGTACCGAAATCAGGAAAGGAAAAAGGTTTCAGGCAGTGCAAAGATAAACTTTCTCACCTGCTAATATCAGCACACCAGGCTGCTGTTGTCTGCAGAGCTACAAGCGACAACTGTAAAGTTGGCAGCCTCTGAAAGAACGGTGTGATGGCAGAGACTCAGCGGGTGGCATCTCCCTCTTCCACCCAACCTCAAAGATAGGGATATCCGCCATCTTTGGGCATCCTGCCTGCCTTCTGCAGAGAAGGATGGAGGAAGGCAGGGTTGCCAACTGACCAGGAAAACAACGAAAGCAAACGCAAAAACAAAAACAAGCGCCGGCCTGTGGTTATGCTCTAAGAGCAGGTGGAGAGGCAACTGCTTTTCACAGCCTGGAGCTCAGCATGACCGCCTGCTGACACGGGTGCATCGCGCTGCCATTAAGCGCACAGAAGCAGCAAGGAATGGCTGCGTTGGCAATCCCTGGCAATGGCTCAGTGCCCCCGGCAGGGTGCTCTGCGAGGGGCGGGGAGCAAAGGCACCCAGCCCTTCCCTTCCCTTCCCTTCCCTTTCGCCTCGGCGTGCCTAATTTGTGTCGGGAATGCTGCACGGCAGCTGGTGCCCGAGCCTCCCTTCTCCCGCTTTCTCCTCCTCCATTGGACTGGAGATAATTGAATCGGCCACCTGTGCTCCGCATCTTCAGGGACTTGACCTCGAAGGGTTGGCTGGCGACTCTGTGTCGGGAGCCCTCCTCTGTTCCCCCTCCATAGATTTTTCGGAGCATATCAGGGACGGGGGTGCATCATACAGGCCGGGGGGGGGGTGGGGAGAGCGGGCGGTCTCCTCCCAGCACTGAGCTTCTGGCCAGGCTTCGGGGCTGCTTGTGCGACGAGGCGATCGCTTGTGGTAAAGGAGAGAGCAACCTGAAGGAGGGCTGGTTCTGCCCACCTTCCTTGCTGCTGGGAGGGCCAGGTGGCGAGGGCGGAAATCCCTGCCAGGTGTGCGCTTGGCTTGTGCCGTCCGTCCGGGACTACCTGGACGATGCTGCACAGCAAGGCCCTGCAAGTTGACCGTCCTTCACTCCTGCAGCGCTCCAACTCCCCTTTGCGTCACGGTCTCCTGGCCTTGCCAGGCAGCAGGGCCAGGGCCTGGCCTTCCAAATCCCACTTCCAGGGCCATGGGACTCCAGAACGTCCCAGCCCTCCCCAGACAAGGCCAGGAGGCTGAAGGGCGGTGCCCCCAGGGCCTGTGCCTTGAGAACCAGCAGATAAGGGGGCTGCAGCCTCTCATGGTCCCTTCCCCCCACCCAAGAATTCCAGGGGTGGGTTTGCTGGCTCCATTTCCGCACCATCCATAAGCAAATTATGTGGGTGGTTCCCAACAATCCAAATGCTAAAATACAACTAATAAAACATATGAACATGCTTTAAGTTCACAAAACCAGGCAAGCAGTCGGGGATTCTTCATGCGCTGTTATTTTACTCTCCTCCTCCTCCTCCCCGTTATGGTTATGAAATGCTTATAAAACACATGCCATTTTGAAAGCGTGCACAGGTATTAAAAGACAAGACTGCCCTTGCCTGCCTGCTCACGGGCTAACAGGCACCTGGATGCAGAAGGAAACTGGCATGGGGGGGAAGAGGAAAGCAAGCAGCGGAGGAGCTGTGCTTTTTGTGGCGGGCAGATGGAGCCTGGCTCTTCTCCCCCTGCCATGATGCTCTTCCTGGGAGGTGAGGGACAAAGGCCAAAGCCAGCTTCCCTTTAGGTCTGTAGTCCCAAAGCACCTTGCTGGACCACTGCCTCTCTACTTCCTTTGACCAGTTCCTGGAGCCAGGCAGTGGTTCAGAAAAAGGTTCCGGGTCCATGTTGTTTGGTACCAGCCCATCCCTGCCTGAGGAAGCCCTTCCCGTGCAACTCTCTGCATCCCTGCCAGGTCCTGGCCGGAGGGATTCTCCCCAGGAGGAGCTCGAGCTCTCGGAGAAAGCCAAGGCCAAGAAGCTGCCCACGGGGGGAGATTGAGGAAGCCGGGGTCCTCAGGGGAGGGAAAAGCTGCAAGGAAACCTCGAGGAGTGGTAACAGAAAGCTGCACAAAGCGTTCTGCGGGGGGTGGGGGTGTACACAGTGCCGTCCCTCAGAAATGCCATGCGATTCACAAAATGACCAGTGTTGCACCCAGTGTAAACACTGAATCAAGTATTTTAAATCTCTAGAGAACCGAAACGGGATGTGCTAAGGGTAGTCCTCTTGCATGGTTTTGGGGACAGATGCATGAAAACGTGCTTTTGCTTCTGCCCAGTCTGAGCAACACAAGGCTGAAAAGTTTGCTGAAAGAGAAGAATGTTCAGATGACAGCAGAGAAGGAGTGGCCTTAACCTCAGGGGTTGGGGACTTCCTCACACTTGGTGCCACCGCAAACATGTTCTTTTTGTGCGTTTGGCGTCAGGTCAGATGCTGGAGAGGGTCTTCCTGTGGAGCTGCTTGTATTATCATCGTTGGTCTTCTGTCAACAGGCAAACGATGGAAGGCTCTGCTTCCACCTCTAGCGGGTGGCTCCCTTCTTGGCTTTTCAAATTCTGTTGCTGCCGCTGTTTCTGCAACTGATGTCTTACAACCGTCTTTGGTATCGACTCTGTGCCCGCCTTTTCTCATCATCCTTGGTTGGGCTTTATAGCTCAGGGTGCTCAGCTGGTTTTGTTGGGCGCCCACCTGTTTATTTCATTCAAATCGATAGAGAGAAAAATGGTTGGATCGTGGATGTCAGGAAAGAAACTTGTCCAGCATCTTCATAGCTAGGACAGAATCGGAGCGCAGATTCCTCCCAGTCCCAAGAGACACCCTTCTCTCCACTGGCTTTCCTCGCTCCTGTTTTGCACCGCTCAGGCATGGCGTTTTGCAGCCCTGTTTTGTTCAGGAATAAAAATAGAACGTATTTTTTTGCCCAGGACGCTGGTGAATGGAACCAGGCGTGCGTGTGGGCTGCTATCAGAGGGATCCATCTGTTATGATGCAGGGGCCAGGGTGAGGAAGAGGAGCCCGGGAGAACGGGGGAGTCGTCATCATGCGGGAGTCTGGAGAGGCGCTTGCTGAAAACGAAAGCCTGCCTTTAAGCCTAGGACCAGGGTTTGGAAACTCGGCTTCTGGGAAGAAAGTCTGAAGTGCACAGAAAAGACAGATCTCCGGGGCTGCTCCTATGCCTTTGGCATGGGGGTCTTGTGCCTCTTCCAGCCCCAGAGCCAAGTTCCACTTCTGGGAAGCTCTCGGGGGGGGGGGGGTGCTCCGGCAGTGGGTGGGGCCAAAGGCCAGAGGGGTGTGGTCCAAAGGGCCCAGTGCATCATTTGGCTGAAGAGGCAGGTCAGTCTTTTGCACAAAGGAGGGTCGCCCGCAACAGGTCAGGGGAAAGGGTGTGCCAAGGGGTGGGAGTGAGCCCATTGGGGAAACTGAGCTGTCGGGTGGTATAGAAATTAGATCACTCAATCAGTCAATTAAATACTCCCAGGAAAGCCTCAGTGGGGGCCCCAGAGGACCAAATAGGACCCTCTGGGTGGAAGCTGAAGCCCCTGCGTTGCTGCAGCTTGAAAGGCAGAAGTGCGTGCGATCGGCTGTCATACGGATTCAAAAAAGGCTGCAACACCACGCCATGGTGCCTTCGGCGTTCAAAGCCCTGGATTCGATCCTTCTCTAAGCTCAGATTTCCCCCATAGGGGCAAATAGCAGCAGGGCAGGGCAGTTCTGTCACCCCCCCCCACCCCTGGGGGGGTGTGGCACAGTATAGGATCAGTCCACGGAGTACTTTCCCCCCAAAGCAAGGGCAGCTGCCTTAAAAGTCCCTTTTTCTTAACAAGGGTGTGATTGACAGAAACGGGTCCACGCTGGGTGAGCTTCTTATGCATAAACAAGGAGGATCCCGTGTTTTTCTAAACTCCAAGCGGGATAAGATTGCGACTGGTTTTTTGATGCTTTGTGAACGCACTTTAATGGAAACCAGCATTCAGTCTGGCGAAGGGACAAGCCGCAGGGAGGGGCCATTGACCCACTGGTCCCGCTCCAACTCTGGGTCGAGCGTCCCTGCCCGCCTGGCCTGCGTGCTCGTACAGCTTCCTATAACCCTCTTCCTTTCCTTTCCTTTTCTTCCCTGCCAGAGCTGGTTGGCCTCAAGCACCCAAGGAGGATGTGGCTGTCACGGTGGGGATGGTGGCTCTCGTCCTGCTCTCTGGCCAAGGTCCTGGTGGCCTCTGCCCTCTTCACGGAGAACGCCTCCTGGGTGGGGGCCCAGGAGCCTGAGCTGGAGGCCAACGGCACCTGCGGGGGGTCCAACAAATGCCTCCCCGGAGTGCTGCTCCCCGTCTGGCAGCCGGACAACCCTTCCTTTGGAGACAAGGCCGCTCGGGCGATCGTCTACTTCGTGGCCATGATGTACATGTTCCTGGGGGTGTCCATCATTGCCGACCGCTTCATGGCCTCCATCGAGGTGATCACGTCGAAGGAGAAGGAGATCACCATCACCAAGTCCAACGGGGAGACCAGCATCGGGACTGTGAGGATCTGGAATGAGACCGTCTCCAACTTGACCCTCATGGCCCTGGGCTCCTCGGCTCCCGAAATCCTTCTCTCGGTCATCGAGGTCTGCGGGCACAACTTCCAGGCCGGCGAGTTGGGCCCCGGCACCATCGTGGGCAGCGCGGCCTTCAATATGTTCGTGGTCATTGCGGTGTGCGTGTACGTCATCCCCAGCGGCGAGAGCCGCAAGATCAAGCACCTGAGAGTCTTCTTTGTCACGGCCTCCTGGAGCATCTTCGCCTACATCTGGCTGTACCTGATCTTGGCCGTCTTTTCACCTGGGATCGTGCAGGTCTGGGAGGCGCTCCTGACCCTCGTCTTCTTCCCGGTCTGCGTGGTCTTTGCATGGATGGCGGATAAGCGGCTGCTCTTCTACAAGTACGTCTACAAGCGGTATAGGGCCGACCCGCGCAGTGGCATCATCATCGGGACCGAGGGAGAGTTCCCCAAGGGCATAGAGATGGACGGCAGCTTCGTGGCCAATGACCACCGGGAGAACGTCTTCGTGGATGGAAGCGCAGCCTCAGTGGCCCCCCTGCCTGTCACCACCCAGGAGGAGAAGGAGCTGGACGAGAGCCGCAAGGAGGTCATCCAGATCCTCAAAGACCTCAAGCAGAAGCACCCGGACAAGGAGCTGGAGCAGCTGGTGGAGATGGCCAACTATTACGCCTTGTTGCATCAGCAGAAGAGCCGAGCTTTCTACCGCATCCAGGCGACCCGCATGATGACCGGGGCAGGGAATATCCTCAAAAAACACGTTTCAGAGTTCTCTAAGAAGTCCGCCAACCTGCTGGAGGTGCCCTCAGAGGCGGAGGCGGAAGAGAACTACAGCAAGATCTTCTTTGAGCCCTGCCTGTACCACTGCTTGGAGAACTGCGGCTCGGTCACCTTGGCCGTGGCTTGCCAGCAGGGCGGCGACACCTATAACACCTTCTACGTGGACTATAAGACGGAGGACGGCTCAGCCAGGGCGGGTTCGGATTTCGAGTACAGCGAGGGCACACTGATCTTCAAGCCGGGCGAGACCCAGAAGGAGCTGACGATCGGCATCATCGACGACGATATCTTTGAAGAGGACGAGCATTTTTTCGTCCGCTTGCTCAACTTGCGTGTGGGGGATGCCGAAGGAATGTTCGAGTCCGACTCAGCCGACCACCCCAAGGGGCGGCTGGTGGCGCCCCTGGTGGCCACCGTGACCATCCTGGACGACGACCACGCCGGCATCTTTACCTTCCAGGATAAACTGCTGAGAGTCAGCGAGTGCCAAGGGACCCTGGAGGTCAAGGTGATCCGGAGCTCGGGGGCCCGTGGGACGGTCATGGTCCCCTACCAGACAGTGGAAGGGACAGCTCGAGGGGGTGGTGTCGACTACGAGGACGCCTGTGGAGAACTAGAGTTCAAGGACGACGAGACGGTGTAAGTACATGATGCACTTTGCTTTCTTTGCGCTGAGCGGCGGGTTGGGCCCAGTGGCCTTTTTGGCCGCTTCCAGGTGCACTGTCTTATGAGTCTGAGTAAGGCAACGGAGTAGAGCTGCAGTGCTGTTATTTTCCTATAGGGTCAACGTCAATGTTACTCTAATTCCTATTTCCTGTATTTCTGTGCGTCTACCCTGAACTGAATTGATGCTGGAGACAAGCCCTAAATTAAAAATAAGAACCGGGGAGGAAAGAATCAAGCATTGGACAACTTTCTGTCAAAATTCAGTTCAATTTTTTATTACTTAGTTGCAAAGTCTTTGTTATTATGATGGGATGGATGAGTGGGGCTGCAGTGGGAGGGACTGCCTGGTGTGAGCTGCTGCACTTTACACCGTACTCTCAATTTCTGAAATGTATACAATAGAAATCATTGTCAAGATGAGTTGGAAGGACTTGGATGAAAATGATTTAGGCTGGTTCATGCTTATGTGCCTGACATGTGATTTTCCATGACTTGATATCACTCAGCATCTGCTGGCTTGGCAGCCGACTGTGCGAACCTCTGTGGAATTGTACTACGCTTGAGGTGATACCAAAGTCCTTTGGGGGGATTTCATCTCTCTCTCTCTCTCTCTCTCTCTCTCTCTCTCTCTCTCTCTCTCTCTCTCTC